AATTACCATGAAAGTAGAATCCTTGGTGAAGGAGGCTATGGAATAGTTTACAAAGGAATATTAGCAGCAGATAACAATAAAGTAGTTGCCATAAAAAAGTCTAAAATTTGTGTCCCAACGCAGAAGGAGCAGTTTGTCAATGAGTTGATTGTTCTTTCTCAAATCAACCATAGAAATGTGGTGAGGTTATTGGGTTGTTGTTTGGAGTTAGAAGTTCCTCTACTAGTTTACGAGTTTGTCCCTCACGGCACTCTCTTTGAGCACATACATGGCAAAAAGAGGAAAGGATCATCATTTTCATTGGAATTACGACTCAAGATAGCAGCTGAAACTGCTGGAGCACTAGCATACTTACACTCCTCGGCTCTGATGCAAATCATACATCGAGATGTGAAAGCGACAAATATACTGTTAGATGAAAATTACACGGCAAAAGTGTCAGACTTTGGAGCTTCACGATTGATTCCTCTTGATCAAGCCCAACTTTCAACTTTAGTGCAAGGAACAGTCGGATACTTAGACCCTGAATACTTCCTCACGAGTCAACTAACAGATAAGAGTGACGTCTATAGCTTTGGAGTTGTCCTTATGGAGCTACTAACTAGTAAATCGGCACTTGATTCTGACAGGCCTGGGGCAGATAGAAGCCTAGCAAGGTTCTTTGTTTGTTTAATGGAGGAGGATCGCCTGAATGAAATTCTCGATGATGACATACTCAACGAGAGAAACATCGAGACACTAAAAACAGTGGCCAATCTGGCAAAAAGATGTGTAAGGTCAAAAGGGGAGGACAGGCCAACAATGAAAGAAGTTGCCATGGAGCTGGAAGGAATGAGAATTACAGAAAAGCATGCATGGGGAAAAGCTGAAATTTGTTCAGAAGAGACTGAGTGCTTACTTGGGCCAGGTAACTCAGATGCTTATCCTGTGGATGTTAGAGCTGATTGTGGTTCTAGTACTGGTACAACTATTGGGTATGACAGCATGCAGATCCAGCTGTTAATTCCATATGATGATGGAAGATAATTCACCGCTTCATATAATCAACTCAGTATTGTTTACCATTCTAGCCATAGTGAAATAGTGTTATTTTTCATCACAGACTATAAGTGTAGCCACATTGGCTAGAGCCGATGTGCTTCTTCTGTACCCTTGAGTTTAAATTTTTCTTTTGCTATAATTTAGATTTAGTTGAAAGTAAAGTATTGCTTGTATAAAATAAAATATTATTATTCATCATTTTGACAGTTTTTATTTAGGTATGTATCAGAGAATTAGGTGGTGAAGATCTCAATCTTTGCACGTAAAAAGTGGCCCAACACCAAAAACTATAGCTAATTTCTTCTTCAAAATAAGTATGAGTTTGGAAGATCCCGAGTTACATGCTTATGGCATTACGTACTTAATTAGTGTGTATGATAATTAATTGTTAATATGTTAGTGAGAAATATTTCAAAAAATAAAGTTATAGGAAGAAAAAAAAATCCCCGTACATCAACTACTAAAGTCGGTGAAGTAATAGGTAAGGGCAATAACAGTTGGGTGCATAAGAGCAACTCCACCCCTAAGACTTTGCGACAGCACCCAGCCCATTTATCCACTTCAGTGAACAGTAATAGACCTTTTGATCCATCATGATGACGTGTATCCTGCAAGCTCGTTGGGCCATTGTCAGGGCTGCAGCTAGAATGTTTGATGTCGAGGCTCTTCGATCCATCATGATGACGTGTATTATTCTCCACAACATGATTGTTGAAGACGAGTATGATTATGATGTCGTCGATGAATACGAGCCGGATCCGATGAACAACTCAAGAACACAAATCTACTATGCTCATGACCGGACCGAAGATCCCGTGCAACACGAGCCGTTGGAACGGGATGGACGTTACAATGAATTGATCGTTCAACGGTACACTTCATTGCAAGAGCCATACTGGCACATAACCCGCCAGAATGACTTGATTGACCATCAGTGGAGATTGCACGAAGGCGAAGATAATTAAAATAAGGCTTGTGGTTGAAGAATAAAGTGTATTGTTTTTTAAGTAATCTTATTTAGTGTGTTTGTTTTTTTTTTAAGTTTAAATGGTGAGGTTATGTAATTTTATTTGGTGTTTTTTTTTTTAAATGTTTATTTGGTGAGTTTATGTAATCTTATTATATTTAAATAAAGTACAAAAATTACATAACAAATTAAATAAAGTTCTAAAAGTAAATAAGAAATTACATAACAAATTAAATAAAGTTCTAAAAATAAATAAGAAATTACATAAGAAACTAAATAAAGTAGTACAAATAAATGCGAAATTATACAAAGTCTGTGGAGTTAGGATATGTGGTGCTAGGATCTTGGTTGCTAGGATTTCTGTAGCTGGAACCCCCTTGACTTGTTTCGGCATCTCTTGCACGCCTCCTTCGCACGACATCTCTTTTTTCTGATGTCCAAAAATATTTTGAATTCGGAGACAGTCCTACTAGAGACTTGTTCATAGTGTCACGATCTGTTTGAGCCATCCTTTCTTCTCTAAGCATCTCATTCTCTTGATGAAGTGCTTCTCTAATCATCTCGTTCTCTCGATTAACTATTTCTCTTTGTCTCTCAGCCGCCGCATCACGAGCCTCAGTAGCTGCTATTATTGCTGCCATAGCAGTAGCTTTTTCCTCATCTCTAGCCTTTTCCCATGCCATGTTCAGTTCACCTTGACGAGTAAGTTCCTCCATATATTTAGTGTAGTCATTTTTGGAAGAACTACCTTTTTTCTTTGATGCCTTTTTACCTTGAGGCCTAAGGGACTGACGAGTCGGTTGGGTCTCTGGCACTTGTTCAGGCGTCCCTTCTGTGTCTTCAAATGTGTTGGCTTCTTGTTCGGCTGTGTCTGCTTCTGGCGAACTGTGTAGACCCATACCGTGCATGACAACTTCTGGACCGGTTGCCACAATTTTGTATCTAAGGCAATCTTTGACAATTTGCCAACATTCCCATTTGTTGAATGATTTGTTATGGTTCTTTGCATTGTAGAATGCTTGTGCTTGTAGTGTCTATAAAAATGTGGGATAAGATAGTATTAAAAAATACAGGTGTAACACAAATAAATAAATTAAAATATTGATGGACGTGGAATGCATATAAATTACATAAGAAATTACATAGAAATTACATAAAAGAAATTAAATAAATTAAAATATTGATGTGGGTGTAACACAAATAAATAAATTAAAATATTGATGGGCGTGGAATGCATATTACATAAAAATTACATAGGAAATTAAATAAATTAAAATATTGATGTGGGTGGAATGCATATAAATAAATAAAAATATTGTTACCTCATCCGCTAAACTTGTCCCACTATGCAGATTACCAGAAGCATGAGAGATGGCGTTTTTCCAACAAGTAAAGGATGCGTCGAGTTTTTTCCAACGACCTTGAAGACCTTGACTAGATCTGGCATCTTTTCCATGTACATCGCAAGACGATTTTGTAATTTTACTCCACATTTCTCTCTTATCCATCTCATTACCCATAATCGGGTCATGAGTAGTGCGAACCCAACATTCACACAACGTAACATCTTCACTGAGCTTCCACGAAGTCATTTTTTTCTCTCAAAGTGTACAAAATATTCAAATGTAGAAAGTGTAGAAAATATTGAAATGTGGTGTAAGGTGGAAGATGAGGGTTAGGTATTTATAGAAGAAAAAAAATTAATTTTTTAAAATTTTTCTGTATTTTTTTAAAAAATTTCACAATTTTTAATTAATTTTTAATAAATTTTAATGTTGTAATTAATCTGGATCGTTGGATTTGAAAAATAATCAAATCCAACAGCCAACCAGCTGCCACGTGGCCAACGGTCAAATTTCTGACCGTTGGGCCTTTTTTTTTTTTTTTTTAATTTTTGGTGAAAAAAACATGGACCGTTGATCTGTGATTGGACGGTCCAATTTAAAAGTCAAATTTAAATTTTTTTTACCGTTGGAAATCCAACGACCTACAAAAACTAGCCGTTGGAAATCCAACGACTCTGAGAAGGGCCACGTAGCCCTCAGCCGGGTATATGCAAGTGGACTGAGCAGCGGGCCCCACGTCCTACAAGGGCCGTCGGCTACTCGCGCCTAGTCGAGCGTGTTGTGCACACGCCAGGGAAATGGACCGGCTTCTGGGTCTGTCCGAAATGGGCTGGGCTGCTGCCTGACTTGGGTTGGGTGCCAGCCTGTTTTGCAGGTTGGAGGTGATGGACAGAGTCCCGGCCTATTTTTTTCACTTGGTGCCGGTCCAAATGCCTTGGGCTGGAACTGCTCTATGTGAAATTTTTTTTCCTTGGCTTTTTAAGTGTTTTTAATTATCTGGTACCAAAGTATTTCAAAGGAAATGGTGGCTTCTTGTTACAACAACGACTCGCAAGTCAACGAGGAGGGATCGATGAAGACAACAACAATCTTTACAGCAGAAGGACTTGAGAAGGCCAGAGACAACTACCATTAGAGCAGAAGAACTTAATGCAGTGGTTGCCATAGAAAAGTCGAAAATCGGAGCTTCAACCCAAATGTTGTGAAGCTATTGGGTTGCTGTTTAGAGACACCGGTGCCATTACTAGTTTATGAGTTCACCACCAGGGGAACTCCTTGATCATCTTCATAGCATCGCTTTCAAGGGAGTTACGACCGAAGATCGCAGCAGAAACTGCCGGAGCACTGGCGTACTTGCACTCCTCCACCTCCATGCCAATCATACACCAAGATGTGAATGTAATTAGCAGAAAGTTACTCAGGCACACAAGAAATGAAATACATTCCATACACAACATATTCAAAATCCAGGCAGATTGACATTTCTCGGATGGAATTTTTAAAACGAGTTTTAACACGAAAATGGTGTCTACAATATATGAGATTTCAAAGTAACAAATCTCAGGAAAAGGAAGTAATTTACGAACTCGATCTAATTTGTTTATTTTCAAAAGTCACAAGAATCGCCTAGACCAAAACGCTCAACCTGTTCATTACAGCGAAATCATAATCACGTACCTTGAAATAAAATTTGAAATAGAAATACAAGAGAAGCACACAACCTAATCAAATTGCGTTCTTTAACATAGAAACCCTGCTCAAGGAGATGAGAAAACTAACATAACCGTTGTCGGATTTGAAGGTTGGAAAAATTGCTCCCACTTGAGCAGCAGGAGATCATCTTATCTGGGTAGGAGAACAGAGCAAACCAGATGCATCTGATCCAACCACTGAAAGATCACAAACAGTACAGAGCTTCCCTTCCTGGTCCGGAACAAACCGAGAACTGCAGTATGGGCATGAAACATCCTTCTGTCCACGGTAAATAGGCACATATGTTTCCCCACAAACCACAAATGGGTTTCTGAAATCATAGTTTAGCTGGGTTGCATCAGTCATGTTCTTTTCGGCAGCTTGCAGGATTTGTCTTGCAGTCTTGGCATGGTTTTCAATGGTGGGGTTGGTTTCCAAAAGTCGCCTGGCAAAGTTAGCTGCCGTGTTGAGATTACCAGCCTTATAGCAAACACTCATGGCATTTAGTAATGCAAGTCTCAAGTGAGGCATCTGAAGGTTGCAGTGGGTGAAGTAAGCCGCTAGCTCCTGTTGGCGAACCGGATCGCCTTTAAGTTCCTTCCTCTTAATCTCCATCTTCAAACCCAGAACATACTCCTTTACAACGATAATTAATTCTTTTACTTCATCAACCTCTCTCCTTGAATCAACTGCGATCAGAGGAATAGTATGCAGAATACCAAGGAGAATACGTAAAGCATCAGCAAACTTCCCTTGGGTTGTGGCCTTGTAACCCGCCTTAAGCTTCTCTTTTAGCTCTGAGAATTTAAATACAAGAGCAGGAGGACCCCTAACATTAGGTGTAGCTGATTCACTCCATCCCCTCTCAATGGCCACCGTGAGCACAGGAGCTGCTGAGAAGGCACGTAGATACGTATGACTGCCCATGTGTAAATCGAGAAATAATTGTCTCAAGGGATCAAAGTTCTGTACACCCAGCTGCCTGCTCAACAAACGCTTTGCAATATCGAAATTCCCAGCGGCAGCATGTTCAGCAGCAAGAGATGATTTCTGGGACCAGATTTGGCTTACAGGCATACCCGGAGTTGGGGCAACAAACACAGAAGAACGGGCATTGCTGGCAGTTTTTGGAGTATCAATCTCAGGTGGAAGTTCAAGATCTTCAAGATCCCATCCTCCCTCTTCATTTTCCTCGCGTGCTTCCTCATCATCCAGCACTGCACTGATGTCTCCATTTGGAATATTGTCCACGTCAACAAGATCCAACTCCTCTCCCCAATCAGCATCTGCAGCCTCTTCATAATCTTCCTCAACATTCTTGCCCACATTATCAAGACCACCCTCAAATATTCCTCTCGTGACCCTCAACAAGGGCCAATCTCCTCCGCAGACGATTGGCGTTGGTGGTAACAAAAGAGACGGAGATTTCACCTTGGGTAAAACAGGAACATTATCTCCCAGTTCAGCCGCCAAACGTTCAGCAATATCATGGAGCCCATGAATTACAGCTGTGCTATAAGCAAGAGGTAAGTGACCTGCATTCTCCAAGATCTTAACACGCTCTCTGATGTCACCCAAATATAAAGCATTGTGGAACTGGCCCATCACATCATTCTTGACTTCAGCAATTTTCAACATTTTGGACAATTTATCCAAGTTTCCAGTCACAAGATATAAGAATGATAGCCTCTCAAAATTCTTTGTCCTCTGATATGCATATTCTACAATGCCTGCATTACCCTGACGAAGGGCCTCCACTCCCAATCGATACCAGTGATCTTTCTCATCAATTTCCTTGGCAGAAGCAACAGCAATCTGGATGTTCCCGCTCCCTAGTGCCAAGTTGAAGCGAGTCCTCTCATCCTTCACAAAATGAAGGGCAACCTCAGGGAAACCCTTCTGCTGTAGATATGCAATCATGGCCTGGCCACAGAGCTCAGAACTCCTTATCATGCTCATAACCTGGTCATACCTCTTCTTCAGTAAGGATAACTTGAAAACATATTCTGTTGCATCAACAACAATGGCACAGTTCTTCCCATCTCGATCCAAGCAATGTATGGTGTTTCCATACACTTTTGTTATATATACGGGAACGTCGAGGGTCCTGATGATTCCACTATCCCCATTAGGAAGGCAGTATTTGATGTGGTTCAAGGTTGTATATATGAAGACGCCATTGTCATCCCAAGCTCCACTCTTTACACGAATTGTCTCATGGAGAGTGCACTGATGCACTAGCTTCTTATTTGCTATCATAATTGAGTGTTTGCTCAGTAAAGCAATGCTCTCCATGTCATTTGACCAAACAATATACCTTACAAAAGGAGTTTGAAGCTCCCCAACAATAATTCTCTGCTGCAGGTCAAAAATAATGACTCTGTCCTCTGCCCTGCACAGCAAGTTTCCAGTTCCAGCATAAAATATTGCATCAGCAACAATAGGTAGGGCACTCTTCTTGACAATCTCATTTTTCAGATTTTTAACTATAACTTGGTTGGAGCTCTTTTCAAGCACTGCAAACCTATTTCGAGCCACGAACACAGCTGGGCCTCCAATTCCTCTTTTTGCCTCCTGCGCAGTATCACCCCGACCAAAGCTATCTTTGGGTATAACGTATAGTTCATAAGACCCCCCATCCACATCTGAACATATCAAAACAGCATTTTCTGTAGGGCTGTACGATAGTGTCTTTGCCCCTTGATTCAAGTTGGAAGAACCAGGCCTTCGAATAGGCATAACCTGAGTGTCTCTCTGGGTAGAGAACTCATAGAAGCGGAGAAAATGATCTTTAACATAGTATATTGAATCACCGCTAACAGAAAAGGCAGGACGCTCCCTCTCCAATTTGAAGAGAATCATGCCACTATCATGGCCAGCGGCCAAGGGGTTCATTTCAGGATGTGCTGAAAGAATCCAGAATCTGTCATGCTCCCTACGAAATGTCTGAAGACCAGTCCGTTTTGTTGCATCCCAGACTCGGATACTTCTATCCTCCGAATTGGACACAATAATATCCTGCCTTAAATGGAATAGAACACAGGATACATTGTTCATGTGCCCCCTTAGAGTGTCCACTTCCCACGCCTTTGTATCTGAAATCGGAAAGATTAACAGGTTACCATTTGGTAGTTCAACCAAACAGGATTCCGTAACTCTATTTCCATCTTTCTAATGTGAACACACTGCAAAAGTATTTAATTATCTGAATCTATATATGCATACTATTTCACAAGAAATACATAGTACATCTAGCGGGATAAGGCTTTGTTGTTGTTGTATCTCCAAAAGCAATTGCGTGGCTTTTTCAGTGGTAATGATATTATTTGTGAAACTGGCCATGAATTAATTTTACAAAAGTTAGCATGCCTAATTTCTAGAAGCTAATGAGGTGAAACTAAACCCTATAAAAATTTCAGTTCTTCCTTTTTTTTCTTTTGGGTGCGGAGAAGGGGGAATGATATGTATAGATGTCTGGTATTTGACCGAATAATAATAGAAAAATTTTTAATGACAATTCGGTTGCTATATCATGTGCTTGGTTGCTACAGAAAGGCAGATACTAAGTATGACAATTAAAGACTAACAAATCAGTCCTTAGGTGTATATATTATTTTCCCAACACATGTTGTGTTTGACATAACGACAACTGAATCTATTATCTAAAAAGAATATAATTAAATAATTAATTCGATTTAAATATTCCCAACTATTTAAATTTAAAGAAATTTTTTTTATAACAAACTGTCTTTCAATTATTCTCGTTTCTTCTTAAAAAAAAAAAAAAAAAAAAAAAGAAAGGAGATTTTGGTACATGAAAGCAAGAAGCAGATGCAGAAATATTTTTTCGTTTCTTGTTAAAAACCAATCTAAGAGAGGTGCATAGTTAAAAAATTGTTTATTTCACATGAAAACTGAAATAGAAGAAAAAAGACATACCATTCATGCGCTAAAGTTTCACTTGTCGATGGTCTGCTCCAGAGACGATTAGAGGGAGTGTAGGATGAAATGATGCCCAATTCACACCCCGATCATGACCTTCCAAAACATACTTCACAACAGCATCAACTCCACCAAAGAAATCTGCATTCATCTGACTCAAGCGTAGGATGCCATCTGCTGGGGCAACCGTCTTTTTCCTGGGGGGCACCAATATCCCAAACACGAACCCTTTAATCCAATGATGCTGAGACAACAAGATCCTCCTTTGGATGGAATAAGGCACACATGACGTAATGGTTGTGTCCAGTGAGCACAGAAATACAAGTTCGGGACTGCCAATTCCATATCCTGATTGTCTGGGCATCACTTGCACTGACAATCCAAGGGTACTCCTGATGGAATTGAACAGTTCTGATATAATCGAGGTGTCCAAGAAGTGTAAACAAACACCTATGCAACTTGTAATTCCACACCTTGATCTTGTAATCATCCCCTGCCATTTAAGCATATACAACCAATTACTTCTCTCTAGACTCTTCCAAATCGGCAGTGCCATCATAATAACTTAACACTTCACAAACAAGTAAATGCTTCTGAGGTTGAAACAACAAGGAAAAACAGAGGTACTGATTTTCAGATTAAGAATATAAGAGTAAATAGTTCAGATCTGATTGATTCTACATGGCATCAAGAAGAACCTAATGAACTACACTACCGTTTCTAACGGATGCATCGGGCGAGGTACAGCAAGATGACCACACATTACACAATGTGACAAACCTAAGAGTAAATAGTTATACAGATGTGTACACAGAAGAAACAGAGCAGATGATTGGCTGTCAAAACCTAATTTTTAGCAATAAGGAGATTTATATTAATATGTTTTTTTAAGTATAAATGATCTTTTCATGCATATGTTTTCATGATAGATGGTAAATCATTTTTAAGCTGTGTTTTTTTTTTTTTTAAATGTTATGCAGCAAGAATGCGTGCAGATTATGGAATATGAAATTGGAAAATTGTTGAATCAAACAACGAAGAGAATTTTCTCAGTGCATGAAAAATAAAAGAATGTTATAAGAAAAAAATGTAAAAGAAAACGGTAAAATTGCGTACCTGAGCTGGAAACGGTTTTGAAGCATGCAGAGAAAAATGCAGAAAATGAAGAGGATTGTATGCTGTAAACAAAAAGAAAACCTAACCGTTTACATAAAGGAGCAGGCAAAAGCTAAAAGAAACGAAAATTTGAAATTTTAGTGTGGTTGGTTTCCAAATGTTTCAAAATGTCAAGGGTTTTATTACAACGTGGAATAAACGCTGTTATTTATGTAATTTTGGCATTAATCACATTGTTGTTTTTGGGTATGGAAAACATAAATCAAACAGATTTTAAGCAGTTAAATGAGCATCTGGTTAGAAAGGAACTTGTTCAGGGCTTAGATTAAGTAGATGTGTTTAGATGGCAACAATGGTAGTACAGAGTTTATTACTGTGTAGAGATTAGTTGATCATTAATTTTGAACCAAATGAGAAAAGAACAGAAAAAACCAATCATTGTTATCCTAAAATTTTGGCACTGTTAGTTATCATAAATATATAGATTAAGGGAATGGAAATAAAAACAAATCAACTCAGTTAGATTTGACCACGGTTCTCATAGATTTTTATTAAGCTGTAACTTAAAGGCATATGATATTAGTGTAATGCATTTTGGAGCAAGAAATGACAAATAAGTGCTATAATGAGTGAGATTACGTGACTACTAAAATTTTGGACCGAAAGAAATATAGTATGTAGGTAGAGAAAATGGTCATCTTGAATACACCATATGTAGGTGATGATAAATTAAGAAAGTAGGAAGCGAAAAATTAAATGGTATAAACTATATGCTAAATGATGACAGAACTGAATCCATTTGGGTCTTAGCTTGTGATCATTGATCCAGTTAATTACCACGCACCTCAAGGTGTGGTCCATAAATGTTTCTTGCAAGCAACGGAGATGCAGTGGTCGCTTTTTCCAAAGAGTGCACATGCGGTTCTTTCTGAGGAACAAATGCATGCACCACCATTTCCTCCTGATTGAGTGGCAGATAAGAAAGCAAAAATATAAAAATAAAAAATAAAATGAATTGGTATAACGGCTGGCATAGTACTTGCAGAGAGAATATGCTTAATTTTGAACAATATATATGCAGTGGATGAGACAATTTGATCTCAAATTTTGCATGATATCTTTAAAAATTATGTTTGGAGTATAGTTGTTTACATTATTTTTTCTATTTGGAATCAAATTTTGAGACCTTCTTTTGATGTAATTCTAGATAACGCCACATATAATTGACCATGGGTGAAAATAGGTTCTGGAAGGTATAAACCAACTTGTTTCAAAGATTGCCCTTGACTCTTGTTAATAGTCATTGCATAACATGATCTAATTGGAAATTAACGTCTTTTAAAAATAAAAGCCCACTTATTCTCTGTTGATGTAAGAGTGATTCTCGGAATGAATACTTCGCGACCAATATTATTTCCCGCAAGTATTTTAGCTTCTATAATTCTGCTAAATAACTGAGTCGCAACTAATCTGGTTCCATTACACAAACGTAAAGACTGATTTAAATTACGTAATAGCATAACTGGCATTTCTATCTTCAAAATTAGGTTATGTGTAGGTAAACCATTTAAATCCAATTTATTCAAAAATTCAACAGGATATAATGTTCTCAAATTTTCAATATTTCCATCTGAAGGACACAAAGAATCATAGCTTAGAAACACATGTTATTCACCAGGTAACAAATCTATTATATATTTGTTTATATCTGTAATGATTGTGTTTCGAGGTGTTATAATAGCACGTTCTCTCAAATAGACAAAATTGTCATAACAATTTTCAAAATTAGGATAAGTTGCAAGAAAAATTGATAAAATCAGATTTCCAAAAGAATGAATTATCAAATCTTTAGGTATTTCAATCAAAGATGTGTCCATATCATAAACTACTTTCACCAATTTTTCCATCACCTATTTGTAAAATCCAATTTGCAAAATTGATAGGAGCATATTTAGGCGACTTACTTAGCTTGTTTTCGTGCATCTATGTTGTTAATTCATAGTTGTTTTAGTAGTTTAAGCCATTTTCGTGTGTTTTTAGGTTCATATGGCTAAGGAAGCAAAAAGATGCATTTTGGAGCATTTTGGAGCAAAATTGGGCTTGGAATGGATAGCATATGATTGGAGCCAAAGTGTTGGACGAATTTGAAGGCCTTGTATTCATTTTGGACATAAAACAAAGGGCCTAGCCCATTCTCTCTTAAACCAATCCCAAGGCCATGCATTTCCTTCCAATTCCAAAGCCCACAATCACTTCAAAAGCCATGCAAAGAACCATCCATTCCATCAAAAACAATCCATCAATTCACATGCAAAACCACCATTAACACACATACACCCAAACAAAGCCAACCTAGCTAACCCTACATGCATTCTTTATGCAACTCTTCATCATTCCACCATTCATTCTTTATTCCACAAACAAGTCACATGCATTTCCACCTTCCTACTTCATCATTTCACCACATTCTCCCTCTTTAACTCATTTCATTATTCATTCACTTTGCACTCATTCAATTCCACCCCACATGCACCCTTTATTCTTCATCATTGCAACCATGGCACATTTACACCAACAAAACAACTCCCATGCCGTGGCCTACTCATATTCCCATTTCCTTTCCAACATCTCACATGCATTTCCACCTTCCTACTTCATCATTTCACCACATTTTCCCTTTTATTTCCACATGCAATTCTTCATCATTGCAGCCACAAACACCTTAAACAAATAGCCATATACATCTCCACTCCTCCTATAAATACCCTTGCATTCATTCATTCACAAATCATCTCATTTCATACACAACACCACAACACAAACACAAAAACAGCAACCTTGTTGTTGCCGTGAGTTCCCTTCCATTTCTTCTCCATTTCTTCCATTTCCATAATCCCCCAATCCATTCAACACACCAACAACATCCCTTAGTCCTTGTGCCACAATAAAGAGGAAGATAAGAGGGCCTAAACGTTCATACAATTCACGTTTGAGTTGTTGGAATGTTTACGCGT